TTTTTTTTTTTTTTTTTAGCTTTTCACGGGATATAATATTTTTATCTAATGCTATAATGTCTATATTTTGAGTTTTTCGATGAAATAAGCTCTATGCAATATTTTTTCTATTAATTTTGCGTCAAAAAAATTGATATTTTCACCAAAAAGCCGAGGCCCATGTTTTTTCCCAAATTTTGAAAAAAAAATTTTTTCCTTGTATTTCAATACAAAGAAATTGTATGTCACTACAGATTATGTGGTATCCGGTAACATTTTATAGGGATTCAAAATTCCATTTGGATCAAATAACTGTTTCAGCTGCTTCATGACACCTATTGCAGATGGTGATTTGCAGTAGCTTATGAAGTCACGTTTCTTCAAACCCAATCCATGTTCTGCACTGATGCTTCCATTACGTTCTGCTGTCCATTCATACAAAAAAGGTTCAATTTCATGTAATATATCTGGATCATAAGTTTTGGAGGTTATATTCAAGTGTAAGTTACCATCTCCTAGATGTCCGTATGCAACACATCGAAGTATCTTGTTTTGTAGTCTTTCTCTCATCACTTCAACTATTTTGTAATATTCATTCAGTGGAAGAGATATGTCATATTTGTAACAATGGCCATCATGCAGAAGACCCTCAGTAATTCTTTCTCTCAGTGGCCAAATGTTCTGAAAGAAAATGTTAATAAATAAAAGACTTATTATAAATAGTCAACCTCATACAATTTAAAATCTCGCATCATACTTACATATGCATACTACTGGAAATTTAAAAGCTGTATTTTTAAATTGCAGATTTTATAAATTAAGTAAAAAAAGTCATTAGAAATTCATCAAAGTATTTTTAAAATGATAAATAAATGTACTAATTTGATCAAATTTTCTTACCGATGGTGTATGAATTTCAAAGAGTTTACTTTAAAGGAAAGTCAACTTTGCAACCAGTTTCATGAGTATGGTTGCTAGACTCAATGGAATAACAGATTTTTTAGGTTATGCTTTGGGGAAAAATATATTAAGTAATACTGCACACAGAGACTCTAAGAACATTGAATGAAAAATAAGCTATTGTCATACATGGGAAATGAGATTTTGGTTGCCATCTACCAGAAACTTTTAGTCTACCTGGAGGAGGATTAGTGTCACATCTTTGATACTATGATCTGTAGTTTCAGAAGAAACAAATCTTTTACAAAAGGATTATCTGTAGTAAAATTATGAAAATACTTGTGAGAGTTTTCTAAACAATCAAAGTTACAAGTTGAGGTAAAAAATAGAGCCGGGAATTGTGTTACTTCAGCTAAATGAAAGTACATTCTTTCTGCCTAGCAAACAGAATGAAGTGTTCAAACAAAACTATATGACCACCTGCAAGACCTGTGACAACATCTATGTGATAGGTCACAAAATTGATATAAGTACCAATTCATCACACCCTATATTGATGCATAGTGTGGTACATGATTATCAAATGTTTTTCCATCCTCTTGTAATATTATGGTATTTATTCTTTGTTCTGCACATATATATATATATATATATATGTGTGCGTTGGTTTTAACTAACACAGGGTCAAGAAAGCCATTAAGTTGATTTCATTCTAAGTTACTTTTGTTGTTCTTGTAGTGCATAATACCTCTTTGAGTGGGAAGGATACTGCTCAATACTATACTTTGTGTAAGAATATCGAGAGCAGTGTCCTTCAACAATTGTTCAGGTGATGCTTAGAGGTTTAGGCCTTTCCTACATTGTAATGAGAATGGGAAAACAAGTTTTCTTGTATGCTAAGGAATGTTATATTTAATTTAGTCAGTACAGTCTGAAATATCATTTGAGATGATTTAGTCAGGTCACGAAAAAGTTAACCAGTTCATTGGGTTTAAATCAAGCAAGTACATACACACTGTGTTTGTGTTTAGTGTTATTTCTTGTTACATTGACCTCAGTGAGAGATTTAATTGTACTTTGTAATCAATATCTTGAGTGAATCTCCTATTATATAGGAAACCTATACAATACAGCTCTAAAATTAATTCAATGAACAATGATAATATGAAACATGAAGTAGTCTTCAAGAAGCTAGACACTTAAAATTTACTTTGCAAGATAACAGAGAAGTGACTTATGACATTAAAAATGATATTTTACTTAACAAGTAATTGACTCCTTTCTTCAAGGTTCATTGTGAATTTTAGACTTAAACGTGCAGAGTGGATATTGACAAGTATAAAGTTTAAACAAACAAAATCAAAAGAAAAATTTAAAGCAGGTAAAAGCTGTCATATTTCGTGGTCATGGACATCCCTGCCCTACTTCCCACAATATTGTGCTGCCCCCTCAGACTCTCTCCAGAGGGATCACACATCAATTAGGAACTCTCCAAGTCAACCACCCCAGCAGCTATGAACTGAAAATGGCAAGGGTTTCCTGCATTCCATTCAAACATTACAGGAAGGTGCCTAAACCAATTCAGACCTATTAACCTTGGTTCCCACGAAACCTATTTTGAAAAGCCGGCATGCATGAACCTTTAATTGTTTCGTGTTCGAAACATATCCAGGTAAAACTGATTTAACTTTATAGAGCTATATCAAATAGGTCTCCTAAATAATAGGAGAGTCACTTACGATATTGATTATGAAGTAATATTAAATCTTTTACTGAGTCAGTTTAAAATGAAGTAACAAGACAGGACACAAAGTTTAATACATAATTTTCATTAAGGCACTAAATACAAACATGTTGTGTGTACTACTTGTGTGTGTAAACATGATGGACCATGGCAATCTGGCTGGACACCTGCAGTAGTTAATTCTTTCTCTCATCCTGACAAGACCAACTCAAATGATATCACAGACTATGTTTAAATTTAACATTTCTTGGCAAGCATGAAACATTGCAAATTTTTAACTTGGCACAGTTTTGAACCTTTCACTAATTTTTTTGTACAAGTGTATACTATAGGTTTCTCTCTTCTTGTAATATTATCCACAAAGATGAGCCTGTAATATTAACAAACAATTAAAGATGTGTTAATACATGTACAATTAAATGAGATACTTGTGTGAAAGGCACATAAGACCTACCTTTACTAACTGTCCCTAAATTGGAACTGATAGATAAACAAATTTAAAGAAGTTAGTCAACAGTAACCACTGCCAGTTCTTTGGCTACTCTAACCAAATGGTGGGATTTAACTTTTATTCTTAAATGCACCCACAGTCTCAAGGTGTGGAGGCTATATTTGCTGCAACAGGATGTGAAATATGTATCCACAGTCTGGTACGTTAATTTCTGTGCCACCCGACACATATATATGACTTGTACTTTAGAACTATCATGGGTTAAAAATGGTCTTTTCTCTCTATACCACATGCAAAAAAAACTTACTGCTCAAGAAGTTTATCATCATATACTTCATATAAAACATTTCATTTTCAGATACTCCTATTATACACTTTTTTCAAGGAATAGCAGTAGACACACATACATTACTTTGAAAAAAACTTTAAAATTGCAAACCAATGAAACTCCTTTAATTTGCATTATAACAACTTAAAAACAACATAAATACATTAGCAAAAAAAAAAAACTGTTCATATAAAGCATCTTAACAGTGTATTGTCATGGGAACATTTGCAGGATGTACAAGAAATAAGAAGATACTATAACTCAAATTTTCAAATAATGACAGCAGGTTATGAACGAAAAATAGCTACAACTCACAAGACTTGACCCAATATTTTCTACATGTCTTGAAGAAAAACATTCAATTTATGTTATTTCTTTCCAATTATTATGTTCCCTGAGTTAACTTTTTACAAAACAATGATAAATGTATCACCTATATTTGAAACTTGTTAAAAATTATACATATAAAAGCTAAACAGCCTAATACATAATAAAAACAAGTTTCACCAAACTTTGAAATGAGACTAAACAACTCGAGAAAAATCAGACAAGCAGAGTGAAACTGCATTTGAAGGTTCTAAATTTAACTTGATGTAGTTTTACTCTCTTTCCTAAAGGTTAGAAACTTTGCAACATGCAATAGGCTTATTGTAACTGTACATATGTACGGCATTCTCTATGTTATTTACTTAAAGGAAGAGCCAGAGAGATAAAATTAATAGATACAATAATCTCAAGAAGTCATGAGAAACAATATTTATGATGAAAGAAATTCCACAAACAGTGACTCACTCAATGCACCAAAACAGCATAAAAAAAATCAATAAATTAAGAAACAACTTCCTTTCACTCAGTGACACGTGAAGCTATTAAGTGTGAGCTATTATAAAACAAAGAATCTTGTTCCCATATAGAAAAACATGGGGCAAAATGTACCAACATTGATCTTCAACACTTTAACATAACTTGAAATGTGATAACCCCAGCTATGTACGTTCAAGTATATTTGATTCAAATAGAATATGAATGAAATAATGTCAAATATGTGTTTAAATTCTACTAAAATATGTATATGTGTACATGAATCTTGATATACTTAACATTCGAAATACAACATATATGTATATACTATCTGCAACCCACAAAACACTTGCAGTAGTTTTCATGCCCTTTGCATGAATTTTCCTTATTCTATCATTTTTTTCTGCACACCATTTAAGCTATACTTTCTTGCAGGCATTATGTGTTGCATCAATAAATCCTGGTTTATTTGAAAAAAATTTTATGCCATAAAACAAAAAATCATATAGATATACCTTTATTTAATAAAACTGCACATAAAGTAAAACAATGATATTTATAATAGTGTCCAGAGTATGAAACAGTTATGAGCATTCAGTGTATGAAAAGGTTTTAAAAGTTGAAACAAAGAAACTTGCCAAAATGAAGAATAAAACCCATATTAAAGAAACAAATAGCTAAAAGGTTTTTATAACAGTCTATGAAATGAACTGAAACTAAATTATTGCAAAGTAAATGTAAAGTTGTAATGAAGGCAAACTTAGCTGAATATGCAGAAACGTCTGAATGCATGTTCACAAAGTGATAAGCATATGGTTTGCAACAAACTGCGCATATGTATTTTAGACCTAAATAAGTCGAGAAAGCCTGTAGAAATTGTATTTTGTGTCATGTTAATTTTTTTAGAAATTACACACACGTTAAGTGTTGTTTGTGTGAAATACTTTGCAAAGTAAAAACTAAAGTTGAAATCAAAGCCAGTCATTACATGATGACAACAACATTTTGCTATCTTGTACCATACTCATTGCATTATCAGTTTGACTATGCAAAAAACAAGTAAGGTGATACTGAATGGAAATGCTAATATGCAGTCAGGACTCCTCAGAAAAAGGCCTTTTTAACGATACGAGAGAAGTTCTGGACAGAAAATGCAAGCATATTATTTGTATAGATATATATTAACAAAAGTAGTAGGATAGCAAACTTTAAGAAAGAGGTTGTTACTAGAGCCCCACCTGTATTTTAGTAGGAAGCAGGCTCACCTTTGGCATGAATTATGACTATTACTATTAGTGGCCATGGTACTAATTTGGTGTAGGAGTTTGCAACTTTTTTATAACAAGATGTTGAAGATGATTCATCCTGGCTATCAGGTTGCATGCAACATCCTGAAGTGATCAAATTGGATTTAGGTTGGACACTGAATGTTATTTGTGTAAATCCAATGCTGGACCTGGTGCATTATTAATTTGAAAAACACATGATCTTTCCAACAGAATTCAGCCAGTGCTGACAGTGCAACATTGTCAATAATGGTACAATACAACAAGCATTTGTTGCTCACTTAACTGTTATCAATGGATTCAGTACCAAGTACCTCCACACTTTTCACAGCTGAAATGAGAAAACCTTGTTCATAGCATTCTCCAGACTGCCATACAATCCATACCTGTCAATCTAAAGCAAATACTGAGTACAGGATGATTTTCCATTGCCATTTCCTTTCATTTTGGTTCTAGGTATCATGAGAGCTAATACCTTGTATTAATGGCTTATAGATTAAATTTCAACAGCCTTTATGCATTATCTGCTACCCTGAACTCATGAGTCCTGGTTAATAAAATTAATACGAGTGATTTCATGTTCTAGAGTTCTCATATACCAAGGAATCATATTGTTTGTCCTTTTCGAGAGGAGCTTATTCTCCATCTTAGCATTCCCAATGGCCATTCAAAACACTACTTATGGTGGGTTCTTTAACCCCCTTCTGCTAAATTTATAAGTTCTACACAGCAATGCACATCCACATTTGGTAGGCATGTGCCATTTGTTAGCTGTCTTAATATTACAGTATACATACTTAAAGATCAGAGGGCAAATAAATAAAATATCCAGACCTCATTCACAGTCTAGTATTAACTTTAAAAGTGGTTAAAAATTAACTTATAAACCAGAACATGTTTTAAGAAAGAGTACCATAACTTTGTAAGAAGTAGAGTGCTCATATTCACTTAACCCTTTGATTCCCAAATTAATTATTGTACTCCAAGTATTGTCACCATAAACTAAACAAATACAGCAATTTATGACAACAGGAATTTAATTTTTATTTATAGGCTTTATTAATTTTTTCGTGACTCCATTTCGCATAAGTGGGTTTTAAGCCCACTGATGCCAAATGAAGTCATTTACACTTTCCTGCCCATTTTGGAGTTAAATTTAATTGTAAACATTGTGTTCTTTGCCAATGAAACAATTTGCGTAAAACTTTGCATATATATATATATAATACTGTCACGTCTTCTTTCACCGCTAACTATCTAAGAATTGCAAAAATCCAGGAAACAGTGTTTGTCTTTTGTAATGTACAGATGGCGGTTGCAATTCATTCTGATAGCTATGACAGACTTTGCATCTCTGTGGACAAAAAATGTCCGGTGTTGTCAAAGCATGATGATGGTGTTCCATGGCTCCTCAGCATAGACCACTTCTTGAGGGTATTCTACTTGTCTTTGTAAACATCTCTGATGCAGATGTGGAAGCTGAAGAAATATACTGATCTAGTGTAGGAAGTGATATGTGGCCATGCTTACAAACAACCACTGGTAACAACTTGTTCTCTTGGATCAGTGCCTTACTGGTACTTGCTGTAAACTCAATGAGTTTCAGCTGCTCCTTTTGAAATGCTTTTTCTGCTCAACCTGCTGAGGATATAATATCCAGGTGGTGACCAGAGAAAGGTTCAGTGCCCACAGGAATATCTTATGGTACCATTTACAGTTCTTGTGGTCAATTCTGTAGAGAATCATGAGCATGTCAAACAGATCAATACAACCCATACATTCAATGTATTCCTTCATGACTGCAGGGAAGGGCATGTTGACATACTTTTGCTACTTCTTGTCCCATCTCCTGATTGAGGTCACTGACTCTATTGCCACATGAGTGGATGAAAGTTGCAAGTCCAAGGTGTCCATCCATTTCACTACTGTCTTTAGTGTCCCTCTCTGTCTGGTGGATTGCACCATTCCAACAGTCCAAATGGCTCAAGACTTCAGCTGAAGCTGAATGAAAGTTGACCAATTTTCAAAGTATACTTTGAAGTTCTGTCCTTTGTGGAGTCTCATATAGCTAATGACAAAGATATCTGGTTGGTAACTACAGCTCTTTTCCACTGCTGGAGTTTTGCCATCATACATACAGAAGTCATAGGTGAGGTCACTAACTCTACACTGAGCAAGCACCTTAAAGCCCCACTTCTTTGGCTTCTTAGGCAGGTACTGGTTGAGAGAATTCTCTCTCTTTTATGGAACAATCTGTTTATCAACACATCTTTTCTGGCTCAGTCTTCAGGCTTACTTCTATAAGCATTGTCACTAGTGGATAAAACTTTAAAGTAATGATTGTAAAAAGAATTTTCTGCTCATGACACCAGTAACTGGGGGAAAATCTCAGTTCTTTCCAACCGTACATTTTGTACCTTGACATGTGCATCAGGCCCTTCTTGAAAAGCACACCAAGATACTGCTCAATCTTGACTGAGTTGGTAGGAACACTAGCTCCTGATTGAACTGCAAACAGATTGGTCTGTCTCACCATGTTCTCAATAAGAGGTCTGGAAAAGAACACTCTGAAATGCTGTATCAGCATCTTATTTTCTACTGGCTCAATGAACTTTTATTTCCATTTTATGTCATTGGGTTTTGGCACTGCTTTCTGTCACCATATGAAGGCATGGCTGAACTTGGAGCCTGTTTGGAGTGATTTACATCCTTGTATATGTGAACAAAATGAGAAAGTAGTAAATCATCATCACTTGATGATTCATAATCCTCTGACTGTAAGTCTTCTTCGGCCTCAAGACCACTGTCTGACTCATTACCTGGATCCAAAACATGTGCATCAGGCAGCAGAATCAGCTGAATGCAACATGCCCTTTTCTCATTCACTGGTGTACTCTATTGCAGCTGTAATTTAAATGTATCTGAATCATTCAATGGATAGATGCAGCCAGATTTATTGTATTCTATAAAAGTAAATCAGATAACTATTATGTAATACTATCAGGTATCCATTACCAATAGAATCCATAGACTCCAAATGAAATCATGATGAAAACCATCTGTTTCTTAAACTAATTATTCAGCAATCAAATGCTTAATATTTAAATACAATTAGTCTTACTAATTAATAAGATTTCATTTTGCTTACCTTTTTCCTTGTTTGAAAATTTCCTGAAAATCCCTTCTAAATCTAAATAAGATTGATGCTGCATATGCAAAATATTTTAAATGTTTCATTGTTGTCACTTTTTGAATGAAAATTATTTTTATATATACAATTTCAATTACCAGATGGATAGATTAAAAGCCAGTATTTTGTTTTTCATAATGGTTTTCATAGGATTAGCTTAAAAAAAAAGAATTATCATATGACTTCATTTGACATCATTGGGAACGAAAGGGCTATTTAACAGAACCACTTAACACTACTGTATCCAAAAATATATACATTTTCATATATAAAATAATGAAAAGTTAATTTTAAACCTATCAGTACAGGAATCTCATCATGTTTATGCAAAAACAGAATATGTCACTTCACGAGGAACTAAAAATTTCATACAAGTTCAGATTTACTGAAAATAAGGAATCATTTTTTTTATGTACTTAAAGTGATTATAATCATTTTTCAGCATCACCTGAGTAACAGCATGTGTATTTACATTAAAATTTCTGTTTAATTACCTTCTTTAATTAAATCAAAAGAAATAGTCACTTAATAGTGGAAGCATAGAAGTATACAGCAGGTAGTATTTCTATAACACAAATCTTAATAGGAAAAACAAAAATCTTGAAACATTATTTGCAACCACTTTCACGTTTATCAACATTATTTATTTGTTTGATTAATTGTTTTCTCTAACAATGAACATTTCATAATAAAACAAACATACTTTAATACGAACAGATTCACTAGCAACTGTTCCATCACATATTATGCCTTTCTCCATTGCAGACTCCAAATAAGAGATCAACTTCTCCTCATCGTGATCACCTCTAGAACCTAGTAGTATAAGACACACAAATATATGCTTATTTATTTTCTGAAAGTATTATTGCTAAAATAACTATTACAATTCTTCCTTTAATTTAGTTTCATTAAATGTAGTAGTTAAATTTTTTAATATACTTTTATTACAAGTATTATTGTGCATTGTTAGCTTAGTATAAAGACTACGTACAAACCCAACTTAAACTCCTATAGTTAGGTATACTTAATTACTGAATCACTGATTTCTAATCATTATAAGTAAAATTAATTATAATTAATTGATTTTTGTAGGTAGAACTTGCTTTGATCAGAAGTTAATACATGATATATGAGTGTATGATATTGCACTAGGACTTTGGTCAGACTGATAAGTGTCTTGTTTATCAAGAAAGGACAGAATGTCTTCAGCTGTTCTCTTATTAACAAGTTATTACAGATATATACAAGATGGCAAGTAAATAATAGTGAGATCACAGTACATTTTGTTCTTTGTATTGAAATAAAAATTACTGCTACTCTCCATTTTACAAGTGTCAACTTCTTTTCTTTTACTGTTCATGTTCTAAATATCCTCTAAAAAACATTTCCTGAATCTGATGTTAACTGTAACAAGCAGTACCTTTTAATAGATTTATTTTTAACAAGCATTATCAAAAAATTAAAATGAATTTGTTTTGGTAAATACTGTTTCACTTCACACAGATTTTTAGAAAAAAAGCACTAAAGAAGCTTTCAATGATATATATACACGACTTTGACAAAGGCACTAAAAAGTTTGACTTATGCTGAGCCACTAGGAAACTAACTGCTTGTTTGTAATCAAGCACAAAGGTACACAAAGGGCTATCTATGCTCTGCCCACCACGGGTATTGAAACTCAGTTTCCAACACTGTAAACCTGTAGACATACCTCTGTGCCATTGGAGGGCTAGGGGACTAATAGCAATAGGAATTTACAAAATATATTCATCTTCAAAACTGAAGTAAAGATGAGTGAATGTAATCTACTTAAGTATAATTAATATGTTAATAATCTATATATCAAAAAATATAACTTAAGATTTTGTTGTTTTTCAACAACTGATTAATCAAAATTATGTTTAAATCGGTTGTCATGAAAATATTAACCAATTGAAATTAGTTGTTCCAACTGTTACTACTTTTGATTATTCCAACTATCATATTAGTTTGTTGTTGTTAATCAGAAAGTTACATAATGGATGGAGGGGGATGCTTATTGACTTGAAGGTTTCAGATTCAATTCCCCTTGCCACTAAACTTGCTTGCCCTGTCTTTTGTCATGGAAAAACTACTAAGGCTATTTCTACTAGAGGAAAAACTGGCTGGCTGGCTGGCTGCCAATTCTTGGGCTACTTTAGTGTTAAATAAAGTGTATTTTTTTTTTTATTTTTTACACAGTAACAAAGCTACACCATTTTGAGAAGGTTTTGGCATAGTCAGGTCCCAGTAGTTTACCTATACAGTAGACACAGGAATATATATACACTATAAAACCAAAAAGTCATGTGACTGGAGACTGCTTAATAAAGGTATCTTGTTGATGTTTTATTCTTTGTTTAAAATTACAGTTTTTTAGTAATTATGTTTTTTTTTTAAGTTTCAATGATTGTAAACATGACGGTTTTTTATCATATTCACCGAATAAAATAAAATTATAATGAAATCAGGTAAGCTTAGTTAAGTTTAGTAAATATGGTGAGGGACTGCAAAATATTCTCACTACTCAAATCCTTATTTATCATATTTATTTTTATGTTTATCCTATTCACACACTGTACATAAATAAATAAAGTGGCTAGCTGGCTACTGAATTGTTTCTAATTGCAATCATGATACACTTTAAAAAACTTTATTGGTGATAATAAAATTTGTTTTCATTATTAAGTTACTAATATATTTGATTTACATAAGATTAATGGGGATTATTGCATGTTCTAAAAAACAACAAAACAATTACCATGTGGTTGTTTTGTGTTCATATTGGTGATTTACCAAGTAGTATATTTCCAGATTATCTTTAAGAAAAATCTGTATCAAAAGTTTTTGACATTTATGGGGGGGGGAACAAAAGTGAGTCTATCATATGAAAGGAAGTGCAATTCAAAAATTACTTTAAAAATATTCCAACTAATATAAGGTTAGAATAACAAAGTAGTCCTCAAACTTTAAGCTGAAAATTCGTTTTTAATTTTTCAATTGCTTCACGCATACAGAGGAGCATATATTAGGTTGTCGGGAATAATATAATAGTTGATTAAGGAGTTGCCAATTATTAGACTAGCTTATATTACTAACTGCCTAGCTCTAATCACAATTAATTTTCAAAGTAATATTCTTATTGACACTGGCATTTTTATATTTCACCATCATCAAAACGTTTTTCACCCCTATCTTAAAATGCTATAAAATGCAACTGATTTGTTGAGAATGGTATGGTTCTACCCAACGGCAACTTCCGAAATGAAACTGTACTCCAGTTTGGTATAGCAATTTCAAAAGTGGTTTGTCATTAGGCTTGTGGCCCTCAAAGAGGCTATACAGTATGAAGCATTGGTTGATAAGATGAAGTTTTATATATATGCATTAAAATATAGTTCACTGTCAAACTATACCAGCTGCTCTTGCTGGTGTGACCCAATATTTTATTAATTGACATCTTGAAAGATAAGTTATGCTGCCAAACAATACATTCCACTATCACATAGTTATCAGAAAATCTGCTTTGTTGATAAACATAATGACTACCTAGTATTAAGTAGTGAAAAGGTTATTCTATAGTGATAGCAGTTACTACTTCATTGAACAAATACATTTAAAACCATTTCAGAGCTCTTGGTATAATTGACTTTTCCTATGACCATAGCTATCAAGAGGATTATGTAGAAAGGGCAAAAAGGAATAATAGTAAAATCAGAGTGATAGACAGATTTAAAACATATGTAACTGCTCTTAGATTGATTGGTAATAAAAACTAAGAGTAAAAACATACACAGGGTAGATGTATAAATAGACAGGAATGGGCCATCAACTGTGTCCCAGGGAGACAAACAAAAGCAGATGACTTTCCAACCAAGATGGTGCTGCTCTATGCTCTATCTGGATGATGGTTGTCTTTTGAAGGCGATAGAGAAGTCAGAATAATTCTGCAGATGAGGTCAACCTGCAATAACTTATAATCATAATGGAAAATCTGAAGAAATTCAATATAGACAATGTATAGATATAGAGTGAGTTCCTGAAACCTTTAGAATGGTAAACAGTTTGCACTTCACTAGATGGAAGCCTGGTATTGCTACCCTAAAAGCTGATATTAAGACCAGGGGCTCTGTAGACTGAAGCATGAAAGAGAAACCAAAGTGAAGTTTGGACAACAAAACATTCAGCTATAGCCCCATAACTGAAGTTGAGAAATCAACAGATGTAGTTCAAGTCCAGTAGAACTAAACAGTTATGGTCAGATTCAACTGTGGCTACCAGTAATAAGGCACAGGTGGCTCAAGTCCTGTAGAACTAAATAATTATGGTCAGGTTCCAATGTGGCTACCAGTAATAAGGCACATGTGGCTCAAGTCCTGTAGAACTAAACAGTTATGGTCAGATTCCACTGTGGCTACCAGTAATAAGGCACAGGTGGCTCAAGTCCTGTAGAACTAAATAATTATGGTCAGGCTCCAATGTGGCTACCAGTAATAACAGAAAGCATGTCTAATGAGGTGCCAATGGCTTGGCTGTCTAACTTATAAAGTCTCTAAAAGTTCTTTATGAAGTAGTAAGTTCTTGTAATTTAACAAAAGAAATGGGAATTGAATATCTCTCATGGCAGTTTCCTGGGCCACTTGCCTGAATAAGCAAGCATCTCTTAGATCAAAGTTATTCTAGGTTACTTTTGTCTTTTCTGGCTTAAATGCTTTTTTTGTCACACAGGTATCTTCAAACTCTGTCATGTGGTTTATATATAGATATAAATAGATGCTGCACACTTTCCTTGGTCCATTCTAAAAAGCATACATAATAATCAATATGAAGAGGTTCCATGTGGATTACAAGAAGATTAATGCAGGTAGATGCTCCATATTGTTGAAAATTAACAAGTTATTAAACTAAGTGGTTCAACTCACTTGATCTTGAGCATGTGTGTGTGTGAATCTACTAATGGGTAATATTAGAATCACTCAAATAGCCTCAGGCTGCTTCTGTTACCAAATGGAATTTGTACAATTTCAGGATGGTGTTCTTGATTTGATGCCTCAAAGTTCGTTAATACTGCATTATCAAGAAAGAAGATCCTCCATTTAGAGTCACAAAACACATACACTGATTTTTGTATCAAAAGTCAAAAGTTAGTTCAGAGTTATATAAATAACTAAATAAGAGGTTTGTTGAAGATTTTGGTTATGAAGTGCTAGTAAACCTCTTACTAACTAAGCTGATATAAAATAAAGTAACGATACAAGAGGCTCAGAGTAGTACAAAATACACAATCTTCACTATGACACTAAAACCGTGTGTGTGTGTACTTGCCGTTAGTTACACAGAACAACCTCCTTTACCGGATCTTCTATATTCAAGTGGAATCCATGTATACAGATGTAGATGATGTTCCACACCAGACTGAATAAATGTACTGTTCCTAGGCATGAATGAAAACTTGCATCTTTCCAGAGTGAATTATGCTATCCACATGACTATTTATCCTCATTACAACATAACCTCTCGACACCACCAAAACAACTGTTAGCATCCTTACACAATGTGTCAATGTTTTCTCCCTGGGCAACAATTATTATTCATTCCAAGAAGAACAAAGGTAGCTTAGAATGAAATCAACTTTCTTGATATGTATTACACATATTAACATAACTTGACAACTAATTGTAACTTATAAAGATCATCAATGTGCCAAATTTGAAAAAAAAATCCATAAAAGTACGTTTTTCTATCAAACAAAGTTTCCCTACTTTTCGTGCAAGAAAAAAGGAAGAAATTCAATCAAAATTGGAGATTTTATATTTCATGTATTTCTTAATGGATTGCCTTGAAATTTGGTATGTGAAGAAAGTGTCCAGTAGTACACATCTACTGAAAATATGTGATAATTCGATTACCACAGTCTAAGATACAGAAAGTGAAATACTACTAAACTAACACTCCTGTTAATAACACACAGTGTGTCCTGCCAGTTGTTTTGGCCTCACGATACACTACTGTGTGTCTTGATTAGCATAGTTCCAAGAAGTTGCCTTAAAGTTAGTTGTGGCTCAACAAATGTGATTGCTGATTAGTTAAATTGCTCCTGAATGAGAAAAACTAGATATTTGAGTTTTTTAAGTAGGAAGTAAATGGTTGAAAAACAAGAATCATGAAGGTGGGCAATTGTTGTCACCATATGTCCAACGCGCCTATAACTAACATATACTTCTTTATCGACAGTAATATTTCATCATTTTATATAAATGTCAAAAGTGACCCAGTGTAAGTGCTGAGATGTGAATCACATTGAATGAAAGCATGTATTTGAGCCAGTAGGTGATAAATTTTAAATAATTCTACCAGCATGATGTGTTTTTTTTTATCATAATGCATTTAAAGTTGTCATTTGTTTTTTTTAAGGTTGTAAAGTTGAACATTACATATGAAATAAAAATACAATTAGGAACATTTTTCAATAAGGCCAATTTAGAAAAAAAAAATTTGGTAACTAGTTTGAACAATCTTCTCTTTACAATTCAAAACTTTCAAATGCTGCCACTTTATTTGACCTTTGGTTGAAATACTTCGTTTGGTTTAGAAAGTGGTTTACTACAAACTGTGTAGAGTGACAGCAAAAGTCTTGGAACTTATGGCTGAAGTGAATGGTGAATTTAGGCAATGAACCTCACATTATGTTATGTATCAATCATGTACTAGTCACAAGGTCATTTCCCTTTTTTTATATTTCACACATTCAAATAAAAAAGAAATTATGATTATCTTTTTTTTTTGCATGGCATATTTAATGACAACTTCAACCATTTCTAATTTAATGAAGCTTCAAAATATATTCTCTGTAGTCATTACAATTTTTAAGGTTAAACTGTGAACATTACTACACAATGACATTTCCAACTTTACTGTAAATAATCGGAATCGGGCTGATTGTGTGCTATAATTATTAGCAATCGGTGATTTCTGATTGTGACATGATCGGTAAAACAGTAATATGTTGTTCTGTTTTATTTTTGGCTAGTGCAGTCTGCAAAGTTGGATTTAAAAGTGTTTGCTCTAACAAGTACCAACAATGTACATGCAGTAAGGTAGATTCTCCAAGCAACTTAAAAGTTTAAAATTTTTAATTGCTTGTTTTTGAAAAGTGTTGACAAAAAAAATAATTTTTATGTACATCTTTCAAATGGGTAAGCCTTGATGTAGGCTTGGTGTCATATATAAGAAGTTAAAAAGTAGTATTCTAATTGAAAACAGTAGTCATCTTTATAAAAGTTTAAATAATCAATATATTTCAAATTTTATACATCAATTCCAATACACTGATACAAAAGGTCTGAATATTGGACAAAATGATGACATTCTTATTAATGAAAGTACTTATACTTCGAATACACGGGCATTTATAGTGACAACATTTGTGGATTGTGCACGACTGACTGATTGTGCACGTTCATAAATTTGGGAAGGTCCATTCATGATTTGTCATAAGTTCTATTTTGTTCAGGAATGCTTAGATCAACTTAGGTGGAGTCAAACTTTTGATGGCTCTTTTGCTTTTAAGGGGCCACGTGGGCTACCTAGCAGACACTTTTTATAGGCCCACTGGCATTTTGGGAGGCCATTGGTTTCCAGGCTGCTACTTATTTCAAGTCCTGATGTATTATGGCAATGGGAGGAAGTCTATAGCCCTACAAAAAATAAATGGCCAGATGATGAAAATAATGTACAACTAAAGTATGCGAGAAGGTCCACTTGCCAGCCTGCACATGCCATGTTTACTTGGAAGAGTCAACATGAATCTATACCTAAGGAAGCATAGGTCAAGTGGATGAGCTGCCACAGTCATCCCATGGGGGTAATAAGAAAAATATCCCGGGTACATGGGGATAGATGGGAATGTGAACCTCAAAAAGGAGCAGTGTGTGCCAAATAACATCAAACTGTATGGATGGGTCGGAGAAGGTGATCAGGATTAGAATGAGAATAAAGGTAAGAAATGAATGGAAGAAAAATAGGCATAAACGCACTGTCACCTTCATGAACCGCAGATGTACTAGGTAGAAAAACATGATCAGGATAAAGAAGAATATAAGAATGATGGAAAAGAACAAGGTGAGTATCAACAAAATGCATGTCAGATCTTCGACAGCTAGAGGCAAAAAGAAGTAAGAAATAGGTTTTAAATGAAAGATGGTAGAAAGAAAAAGGGGCTAAAGGTTCAAAGGAAGGAAGGGTAATGGTACAAAGACAACATTCAAAGCGGAATTAGGAAGGACTGCAGGATAAAGATGTTGAAAAGAATGGAAGAGCATAGAAAAGGCAGGAAAGGAGAGGGAAAATCTGAAATTAATATATAGTGCTGCCCTGTAACCAGTGATAGTTGATAGTGATAAACCTTGGTCAATATAAGAAATTCAGAAAGATGGGGGACAAAAGTACAGGATGGGGAAAAAGAACAGCACAATGTCCAACTGTGGAAATTGTAACGTTTACTGTGATAGACAAGGAGGAACGAAAAGAAAAAGAAGAAATGATAAATGTGAAGAGCGTTTGGAATATCTTGCAAGGGACCAGACAAAATCTACATGTGAAGTTGGAATGACAACACTGGTGGATGTGAGAGGTAGGAATGAGGTTGAGAAAGTAGGGATCATGATAAAGCTAAAGGATTGGATAACTTTCAATAGAAAAAACAAACATGGTTGAGCCAGCCAATACGGAAATTGCAGGAGGACTTGATATGGAGTGTCCTGAATCAGGAAAAGAATATGAGGGAGAAGACAAATAGGAGGGTAGTTATAGAGAAAGAGGTTAGGCTGATGGATGAGGAACTGGGGACTAGAAAAAGGGGAAATCTCATGTGGAAATGAGAGTCAGATGCATCTATACAAAAAGTGCCCAGTTGAGAGCATACACACTTGAACACCAGAAAATCAGGTGACCACTCTGAGGTAATATCCTGTCGAGTCTTGAAAGCCAATCAGTGGTAAGATTCAGGGCACCTGAAATAGGATAATCCATAAATCATAGTGGTAAAGAATGGGCCCAGAAAAAAAAGACAGGAGTGTGGAAACAGAGAGAGCAAGACTGAGTGTACCCCCTGACAACTGATATAGGAGACAGACAACTGTAGAGTTGTCTGTATGGATCAGAACTAAACATCCATGAAGCATTGTAAGAAAATGATCCCTGCTTGACATACTGACAAAGAAGAACTCTCTCTGTGGTATTGGTTTTGTCAAACTACCAGGTGTAGTCTAAGTGAGGAAAGAGAATGTTGAAGGACATGGGATACAGAGTGAGGTTTCATTGATCATGCAGAATTCATTATAGATGTGCAAATGAGCATGACCGCCGGGGAATAATGAATTTCATAGAAGCCCAAGTCTCCAAAAGAAAGAGAACCTCCCATACAATGAGTGAAGGAGAGGATATGACATGGGAAACTAAACACTCCATGTCCTTCAAACAAAGAGGAAAAGGTTGGGCCTGTGAAGATGCAAATCCATAAACACTCAAATGAAAGAGATACTGAGTGTGAGATTTAAATTCTTCAAGTTGACCAACTAACCCAGAAGCACCACTTTATGAAGGAGGAAAAGAGGATGACTGGAGGAGGCTTGTTGTGAAAGAGCCAAATGTGAAATAAGCATCTGAGCATCCAAAGACCTAGAGCGGAAGATCACTGCAGGGTGAGAATAGTCTCCATGGTAAAACGAGGGATGTTGAGAAACCAACTGAGACTTGAAATATCTATGACCAGATGCCAATCAACTGATTCAATGGTAACAATGAAAAGATGGGAAGAAAACCCTAGAGACAAATTATAAACTCATTTGATACTTATTTAGCCATTTGGTCCAACACTGCCATGAACATTAGTACAAAACAAGATCCAAAGCAAAAATATCAGAGTGATGTGTAGGGATGAAAATTTAATTCAAAGACTTGGAGCATGCATAAAAACCTTTTAGGCAGTGGTGTGAGATATAAGCTGTTTGTTTTGGGAATTAGGGAGTAGTGTTTTCAATGTTATTCTTCTAGGTCTTCAACAAGCATTATATGTTAAAATAATCTGTGAGAAACTCAGTAGCAGAGTTAGCCACCCTGCTATTACTCAATATCTTCAACAAGTAGTATCTTTTATTGTACCTTCATCATATGCTACGTTTTTCATTTTTAATGGAAATACAAACACGAGTTAGCTGTTATTTTTTACTTTAATCTACTTTATTTCAATATTTATGCAGTACATTTATTTCATCTTGGAAGTCAGAAAAAGATATATATATAAACTTCTTACCTAAACCTGTTCTTTACAAAAACAGATAAAATAAAGTTAACAAGATGAAACGTTTACCTGATGTTTCAATTAGCACATAAAAAGGAAAAACAGAAACAGGATTTTTCATACTAAGATTCTGTTCCACAACTTCCATAGCTTGGTGATCCATCATTTCAAATGAAGAAATTATTTCTGCAAGGTTCTGACGAGCCTTTCTGTATGCCTCAAGAACTTTTTCAAATGAAGAACAGCCTGAAAATATAAAAAATGTTTAAATATAACAAGGTTAATTCTTCTTTAATGACTACAATTATACTTGGACTGTAAAATGACACTGCAGGAATAAAAAATATGATGCTGAAAGAACCTCAATACATGTTACTGTTACTTTATCAGGAAGACCTAAGATTATATATATATATATATACATACGAATCTGTGTATGTAATGTTTTTTACTCTTTTT